TCCAGAAGCGAATAATAAAAAAATATCTTTATTTATAAATTTTTTTATTAATAATATATTTTCTCTGTTTTTAAAAAAAAAGATTTATTGAGATTCACACTTATTAAGAATTTTTTAAAAATAATATATTTTTTTTTATTTTTTCTGATATAAAATCAAAAAATAGATTTAAAAAAGCAATATTAGAAATATTTAACAGAAACTACATTGAAAATGAAAAAAAAAAATCATCTTTTAGAAACAGATTTTTTTCCTAAAAGATCCTCCTTATAAAAACAGAGAGAAAGTATATGATTGTCACCTAGAAAAAACAATAAAATAAAACCAAACTAAATTGTAGTTTTAATATTTCATTTTAACTTTCTTTTTCTACAAAAAATTTGACAAATCTTTTTGTTAACCAATCATAAATAAAAATTATATAGAGAAATAATAAAATAATCAAAAAGAAGAGAAAGCAAAAACAAATAATTTTACCATAATTATAAATAATTTTTGCAGAAACATTAAAAAAATTTGTACTATTAAATTTCTCAATGTTAGATGGGTAAATAGAAGAAAAGAAAAAAACAATTTCATGACTTAATTTTTTTATTCTAATTCTTTAAAAATAAATAACAACTGATTTATTGTTAACTTCTATTTTCTAAATTTATTTATAGGCTCATATCTACATTTGAAATTATTAAAATACTAAGTTACTACCCGGACGATTGTGTGGGTAAGGTTTGTAAAATATTTTTTTTAAAAATTGATTTTATTTTAATGTATATATATTTATATCGGTTTTATATTGATGATTTCGACTATATATTGATTTTATACCATATATTTGTATATATTGTATGCATGATATTTTCAAAATTTATATTTGTTTCTTTTCATTTTAGAATTATGTAAATACCTAAAAATATGACTTCAATCCTTTTAGCTATACAGTAGTATAAGATTTTTAACATGTAAAATGTATTATTTTTGTATCAATATACAGTAAAACAATTTAGAAAAATAAAATCAATAAAATTAAGAAAATTCCAAAATACACAATTGTGCATTAATTTATATATATATATATATATATTAATAAATGATAATGTAAGATAAAGCAACAAAGATAATAAGCAAAGAGAGTTTTTAACACCAAAAGAAATAAAAACACATACTCAAAGAAAAAAATACGAAAGCAATTACATGTTTGGAGAGAAAGCAATACAATATTATCACCAAGATCTGACCACTTTGCTAATTTTTACTTATGAAAAACACTATTTAACATTAGTAACTAATATTTTAATATCTAAAAAGAAAAAGAAAATTAACGACGATGAACAATGCAATCTGAAACTATTATAGAAGATATATATTTTTATTTATAGAGGAGAGAAAATGTGCTACACAATCTATGTTTAGCCCGAAATTTAAAATTTCATAAATCTGATATTAATTATTTAATTTTTGCTTAAAGAAATTCAAAAATTTGATAAATCTGTATATTGGTTTGTTAAAGATATGTTCCAATATTTTTAAATTAATTTGTTTATATATGAAATTATTTAGAGATTTCTATTTCTAAAAGCATATATTTCCATCTGTAAATATCTACTATTAGTTAATGATAATCAATTTTGAAAATTAGTTGATTTATCAATTAATGATATTTAATTTTGAAAATAGTTGATTAAATAATATTTTTTAATTAAAAACAATTACTTAATTAGAACATTACAAAATTAAATACCATTAATTGATACATCAAATAATTATTTTGAAAATGTTATACAAATAAGAATATTTGTTAGAATATGTTTTAATTTTTGAACTTTCAATTATTTTGTATAAAAATGATTAAAACCGTTTGAAAATAAGAATATTATATAAATTTAAAATTTAGTTGATTATTTCAAAAATTCGAAATAAAGAGAAGATGAAATGTGGCCAAATATTTAGTTATCACATTAAATAGTGTTTGGATATAGAAAATTAGAAATAGTAGTAGGAACAAAATAATTTTTTTTTTAAAAAAAAAGAAGTTTTTACATTAAATAGTGTTTGGCAATAAAAATAGCATAATAAATTAATTGAATTTTAAAGTAAGAAAAAAAAGATAATGGCACATCAGCTATATATGTTAGATAATAACAAAAATATCTTTTGTTATTGAAAAATATTGCCCTATAATTAATTATTATTTTTTTGCTGCCCTATACTAAAGTGTCTTTTAATAGCCCATAGGCACGGTTCTGGAACCATTATAAAGCCACCAATTGAATGTAACGCAATGTCAAACCGATAAAATTATTTTCTCAGCAATTCTAAACCGTTTCAAATTCAAGAGAAGCTCTAAATATGATTCTAACCCGCCCCTTATGTTTTAGATTAAAATCAAAATCTATATAAAAAAAAAATTATAAAATGATACTCAAATCGTTACAAAAAACTGTAAAAATCTCAAAGTGATAAACCACAATTGATTAACCAATCGTGGATGACCCCGAAAATTGAAGTTGTCTTCAAAACAAACAAAGTACTCATGCTTCCACGACTTTGGAAAAGGGTACAAAAGGGTTTCACAACGACATAAGATGGGTACAAAAGGTAGGTACAAAAGGGTTTCACAATGACATAATTAAATCTTTGACCTAATCTTGTATGAACAAACTTGTTATATATTTCACCGAGATATTCTAAGAATTGATAATAACTGTATAACTAAATTTTGGAAAATAGTGAATATTAACTGATATATATATATATTTAGTCTAAAATGTGTGAATATTCGTGTTAAAAAATAAACTGAGATATGATTATATAATATATGGTTTAACTTGGGTCTATATCGGTTTAAAGACCTGCTTCATCTTTATTGAAAAGCATATGCTTTATCTTTATTAGAAGGCCATGTTACGACTTACGAAGAATGTAAGTTATGATTTATTATGTACGAAGTAGAGACATTGTGTGGTTGCTTGGCAATTAATAAGCTATGTTACTTTTTGGGCATGGAGTTCCATAGTGAGATGTTTTTTATCGGATCTTTTCTGTTGAATCGATTGTCTCATTGTTGAATCAAAAACAAATTTTATGATTTCTTGGTAATCGAAGATGGGAGTTTGTTTGCGATTCTTCTTCTTGGTCAACCTGTCGATTCTGATGGTATCGTCTCAAGAAACAGTTATACTGAATGGCTCAAGCAACCAGAAGATGTTGTCTTCTCCTCGTAATGTCTTCGAGCTGGGTTTCTTCCAGCCTAATTTGACTGTTGGGCGCTGGTACCTCGGGATATGGTACAGAGAAGACCCAACGAAAACCTCTGTTTGGTTGGCGAACAGAGATCGGCCTCTCACTGGACCCAACGGAACTCTCAGAGTCTCCAACAACGACCTGGTCCTCTTTGATCAAGATGACTCCCGGGCATGGTCGGCGAATCTGAGCGGACCTGGTGTGAGTGTGAGAGCTGGTATGGTGACGGAGCTTCTCGACAATGGCAACCTTGTCGTGAAGGAGGCAGGTTCCGATGAATACCTCTGGCAGAGCTTCGATCATCCGACGGATACTCTACTACCGCAGATGAAACTAGGATTCCTTACTTCCTGGTCAGGTCCAGATGACCCCTCAACCGAGTGGTCTTACTCGTTTGAAATTCGAACAACAGACATGATGTATACAATTTATATTACGGACAAGCTTATAAATAGAGAGTATGGAGGCGACATCTGGAACGGCTACCGATTTGGAGACATGCCCCCTGCTTTCCAGTTTGATGAAAAGACGGGTTACTTCTCTCTCAAGGCGAGCTATTCCAGGTTAACATTGGCGCCAAGCGGGAGTTACGGATTGTTCGTGTGGAATCCGAAAGATAATCTATGGAAGCAGTCATGGTCCAAAGGGTTAGATCCTTGCTATTGGGAAGGCATTAATGAGCCATGTGGGACAAACAGTTACTGTTCCAGAAACACGACAGCATCATCGTGTAACTGTCTCGAAGGATTCCATCAAAAGCATGGTCCGTCGTTTGGGTGTGTGAGGATGACTCCTCTCAACTGCGCTGGAGATATGTTTAGGAAGCTACCACATATGAAACTGCCGGCAGATTGGGAATATCAGTCTCATAGTGTGCAAGAATGTGAGGAATTGTGCCTTAAGCATTGTGACTGTACGGCTTTTGCGGTTGTGGAAAGTCGAAAAGGCCATCTCAAATGTTTGTGGTGGAAGGGAGAGCTCAAGTATATGCAAAACTACACAGTGGGGGGTCAAGATGTATATGTGAGAGTTGCAGGTTAGTAATTTTTACATTTTCAACAGATTTTACCTTACGCTGAGAATCATAGATTACAAGAGTTTACACTTGTTTACCCTACCTTGTTCATAACGAAATGATTCCTCTGGTTACATTGGTTTATTGTTCTGTTGGAAGCCGGTTACTTGAGATCAGTTGTGTAGCGATCGTATATACAGTAACAAAAATTGTTGAAAAAGTCTTATTTGCTATCTTTCGGATTATTAATTAATCGTATATATTTTTTTTCATCTTCTAGAGAAAAGTGCAAACAAATCTGCACCTCTAGAGCCTTGGGCCATCGGGCTCATTGTGGGAGGCGTGCTTCTGTTCATCTTCTGCTTCTGCTTCGGTTTAGGGATCTACTACTGGAAGAGAATGCAAAGAGAGGCTGCAGCAACTCAAGGTAGCATCATCATTTTCTCTGTCTTGTTCTTTTCTCTCCCTTCAAATACTGCTGTTACTTGTGTCATACATTAACTTTTGCTTGTGCGTGTAGGACCAAGCGATACCGAGCTTATGATCAACGAGATGAGAGAGGACCGGTTTACCCCCATGGAGCTCGGAACGATTGTCGAGGCCACCGACAACTTCTCAGAAGCAAACATACTCGGCCGAGGTGGTTTTGGTATCGTCTACAAGGTGACATTCGGAATGAATCTCTTGTCCTGTATCAACACAGCTACTTCTGATCAAACTAAATCGTTTGGTTGGTTCATTTCAGGGCATCTTGCCCAATGGAGCACAAGTCGCCGTCAAAAGATTATCTGAAAGGTCGTCGACTCTCAAGGGGCCGAGGAGAGAAGATCCTTGTGTATGAGTATCCAGAGAGAACTCCGAGACTACTCAACTGGGAAAAGCGATTCCGTATCATCCGGGAAATCACACAAGGCTTGTCTTACCTGCACAACTACACGGCGAGCCCTATCATCCACAGGGACCTGAAGCCAAGCAACATCCTCTTGGATCAAAACATGACGCCAAAGATCTCAGATTTTGGGATGGCCAGGACTCTGGAACTTGGCATGACGGACACGGCGACCCAGAGAGTGTCCGGAACATAGTAAGAGATGTCTTCAGTATACATATATATGTTCAGTTACATGACTCAACTCCTTCTTTTTCTTTCATCACAGTGGCTACATGTCCGAGGAGTACGCCCTGTCGAATATAATGTCGGACAAGTCGGACATCTTTAGCCTTGGAGTGATGATCCTTGAGATCATCACCGGGAAACAAAACAGCAGGTTCTGTACCGCACACCCTGGCGACAGTCTTCTCAGCTTTGTAAGTTTGTTGTATATACTCTACTAGTCTCTTTCAGGTTACAGAGTATGTCACCATAAGCATGAGAAGAGCATTCTTTTCTGATAATTCATCGTACTGCAAGAATACTCTGGTCGAATCACAATACTACTCTGTGATGCTCGTATGTGGTTTTAATCTAATGCCTAGGCGTGGAGAGGATGGAAGGAAGGCAACGGTCTCCAGCTAGTAGATCCTCTCTTCGCAGACGAAACCCTCGAGGAAGAAGAGGTCTTGAGATGCATTCACATAGGCCTCTGTTGCGTTCAAGACCAAGCCGCCATCAGACCTACCACAGATGCCTTGGTGCTGATGCTAACAAGCCCCACGGTCGACATTCCTGAACCGAGCCTGCCGGATTACTATTACGCTAGGTTCCTGAGCCTAGGTGTTGGTGCCGCTGCTTCATCCTCCTCCCCAATTCCAGACATTGACTCCACCGTTCCCACGAAATCCACCACCATCAACCAAATCACTGCCTCTGTGGTAGATCCTAGATGATAAAACTATGTCTCTATGACTTGGCCTTTCTTATATTAGTATTCTGTCTGTATGACTGTTCTTTATATTAGTATTCTGTCTGTATGACTGTTCTTTATATTAGTATTCTGTATGACTTTCTTTATATTACTATTCTGTACGACTGTTTTTTATATTAGTATTCTTCTAATTTTTCCACATTATTGAGAATTTGGTTTGCTACTTCCAACACTAGACAACAAGCAATCACCGTTTGAGAAATTTTGGATGTCATGACCAGACACTTTTTCCCCATTTCAAGAAGCTCTTGAATCCCTCACATCTCTCCACCAGTTGCAAAAGTGTTTTTATGCTGAATATTTTAGTATATGTATACACACAATCTATGCCCCGTGATGCGATGGACTTTCGCTTCACTCTTGAGCACTATGCTGCAGCTTCTTAAATGACCTCTCTGCCCATGAGTTTGTGTTGTAGAGCACGTGCTTGTCAAGCGGGTATCCAGGTTTGCAAACGTACTCCACAAGGTAGTCCGCGAGTACACAAGGGATCTCGTGGCGTATAAGCTCCTCGATCCAGACGTCGTCACGCGCCATCCCGGGGCTTATCAACGCGAAATGAGTGTTTTGATTCAAGAATCGCGTGTAAGGCGGTGCGGTTGCTAGTATCGTACCATCCCCTGCCTTCACTGCTCGCTTTAGCGTATCCTGCTTAGGGAGAAAGACACATTCAAGACATCAAGAACCAAGAAAAACCAAAAAACGGTTCCTCTACAGTATTGCATGAAAGTGAGAAAGATATTACTTACCAAAGAAGGGATGGAGCAGTCACCATAAACAACAACTCGCATTCCATATAGAGCACCGTGTCCTGTTTGCTCCCTGACGAGCCGCCATTTCCTTGGCGCCTCAAGGTTTATTGCACCATCAGCGCTAAGACCAGCACTGTGCCATTCATAGGGCTCCTCTGGTAATAGTTTCCCAGCTTCCTTTGAATCAGCTACATAATCAGTCTTCAGAATCCAACTGCATTAAGGAGAGTGATGAGTAGAAGACGAAAAAGGTAAGAGGTTTTATCAAAGGAGGGAAGCTCAAACTAGCAAAACTGTTTGAAAATCCTTATTAAAAAAGGGCGTCATATGATGCTGAAGAGAGCAACAAACAAGTTGAAGTTGATTGGAAGATTTTATTTGTACCTTCCAGATGCAGCAGCAGCTAAAAACTTTTCGGTCCTACGGATTTCAGGAGAAATGAAATGTGTTGCTTGATAAGACCACTGATGAGAATCCCTGCAACATTTGCCTTTTAAACGCTTGATGATCTGCTGGTACTCCTTTCTCTGGGACCTCGGACCACTGACAATAAAAAACTTGGGCTCCTGTTCTTGGCCCTGCAAGGCTTTTCTACTAGCCAACGGCTTAGAACTGAGCTGCTTAGACACTTTATCCGCCTTTGTACCTGTCTTAGCTGACTTTGCAGCTTCATTTCTTGCTACTGGTTTTCCTGGAACCGGGCTTTTGTCTCTACCAGGTTTATTATCCACTGCCATGTTCTCCTTCTCTTCTGCAGAGTTAGTCCCTATATCTTTCATCACAGTATCGTTTACTTTGGCGTCATCTTCTTTTTTAGTACTTTTCGCCTTTTTCACACTAGTTTTTCCCAATTCGACCGTAGAAGGACTTCTTTTCTTCCCACTTTGAAGCTTATTTTTTGCTACAATGGCCTCCTTTCTGCGTTTGCCTTTATGCTTATCAACCCCTAGTTGCACTGCCGCATTGCTTGTATCTTTCGTTTCGGCTTCCTTTCTTGCTAATGTTTCTCCCGCAACTGAGCTTTGGTCTCCTCCACCAGAACTGACCTTTCCAGATATATTTTCCAATGCAAACTTCTCCCTCTCGTTCGCAGAGTTACCGCTTATATCTTTCATCACTGCATCGTTTGCTTTGGCATCATGTTTTTTTCTAGATTTTTTCGTCTTCTTGACACTTGACTTTCCTACTTCGGCTGTCGAAGAACTTTCTTTCTCTCCACTTTGAAGGCTATCTTTGCCTACAGTAGCCTCCCTCGTCCGTTTCCTTTTATTCTTATCAACCTCTAATTCTGATGCACCATCACTTGGATCTTTAGTTGGAACATCATTACGCTCCGGTTCTACCATTGTAATTTCCACGTCTGCATCAGCTTCCTCCGAAGCCTTAGCCTGCATCTTGTCTTGGTTCACAAGATGGTCTTTCTCTTCTGGGGCAGAAGATTTATTATCTTCAGAGTCAAGTCTCTTAAGGGCTTCAGTCTCTGAGTCGATATGTTTTGCCATTTCTGACAAAGCCTCGGTATTTAGGGCAGGACTTGATATCTCTTTCTGATTGCCACTATCTGTTACTGGCGCTGAAGGTTTTCCTTCGTATAGACAATCAGTGCGCTCGTCCTTTGAATTAGTAGGTTCACTCAAGTAAATAGATCCCTTTTTGCTAATGGGATTCTTTTTCCTGACTCTGGTGCCTAGGCTCTTTCTTGGAGCTGTTGTCTTCTTGGGCAGCTCTGTTTCTAGCTGGTGTTTCATTCCATCTAAACCCGACCCAGGAGAGGTACTAGATCTTCTCATCACAGGCTCAGTTACGGATCCTTCAGGTGCTTCATCCACTGCACCCTCCAAAGTAACAGTCTCTGGAGTCCAAATATCAGCTTCCCTGGGAACACTTGAATTGAAAAACCTAGTTGCTGAATCACTCACATCTAACTTATGTGCAACTTCCCTGCCTTCAGTGTGGTCACTGATGTTTGGCAGAACCCTAAGGTTTTGTTTAGGTGAGCTTGATCTTAGATCCTGTAATAAGATATTCCCCGCCATTGGCTCCGTCGATGATCTCTCCGGTATTTCATTCCGTGCACATATGGAAATGATATTCTCCGCAGTTGAAATAGCATCTTCAACGGGTGCCACGTTTGAGCTCAACAGTTCGGTATTTAAAACACTTGCAGGTGCTTTATGCCCAACTTCCCCACTTTCAGTTGGATCATTAGTGCTCGACACAGTCGTAAGGTTTTCTTTAGGCGAAGCTGTCCTTAATTCCTGCAATAACAAACTAGCCGGTGGTGGAATACATGCCTCGCGGTTATGCTGTACCATTCGTGAACCTTTGCTACTGACGGATCCATCTGTAAATTTCGCCTGAGGCATCAACGGAGGGGACGCCTTGCCATGCAACTTATCAGTCTTGTCAAGATCCTCAAAGAGTGTTGTTGTTCTTTCCACGCAGTAACTTGATTTTGATGCAGAGATATGAGAGGCATTCGAAGCTTTTAGGGCCCTGTCATCCATTCTCAGGGTACCGTTTGCTTCACTTGACTCGTTTTCTAAGGTACTTGTTTCTGGCGATCTCTTAAGTGTTTTCCTTGAATAAGTGGCTAGAGAAGAATGCCTTCTGATACTCATGTTAACAGATGTTGAGTCATCGGTCTCCATTCCTCGCTCCGAAGTCTTGTTAACTGGAACGGGGGACGCGTGATTAGAAGTATCCTGAACTGTGCTCGCTCTCTGATAATTATGCTGCTGAGCAGCAACCGCATCAGTAGCGACCATGGCTTCAAGAGGCATGTCCATCTTTTTTGGAGTTAACCAATTGTCCTTGGAGAGAGATGAACCATCCTGAGCGCCTGAGTTTGATGGAACAACCGGGATATCTTTTCCTCCCGACTTTGACAAGCCAACCGCAGTCACAGCACCGACCCTAAGACCAAGAGGGCTGTTGTTTGCACGCTTCACAGAGGCATCCTCTGCCTCGTCCTCAGAATCCCGAGCTGAGGCCTCCATCATCTCCAACTCATAGCCACTGAGAGAACAGAGAAAAATAATCAGCTTGTAGTGGCAATACATGCTTGGTCCAGTTTTCCATGACGACATGACCAGCTGCTGAACAGAATCAGTCTCTGAAATGGAAATGTGTGTACTTTTACCTTATCTCGTAACCATCCTCGGGAAGGAGGTTCCAATTCTTTAAGCTGCAAAGAAGAAGAAATTGTGAGAATCTGCATCGCATCCACAAAACAAAAACGAAAAAGAGAATGAACGAAACTCCCGGTATGCCTCTCACCAGTCCTCTAACCACCGGTGGTTCACTAGTTTAATCTTCTTCATCCGCTTGGCCAGCTCATACTTTTCTCCTGACCAGAAAGAAAAGACTCCATCAAAAGGTTTATTCAAGCTTGAAGATGTGAAAAAACAAAGCAGAAACCTATAAGTGAAGTGACTCACCCTCAAACTTGTAGCATATAAGATGGGTTACTCGGTTTGCAACCAATGGCTTCAAGAACTGCCCACCCATCAAATCAACCATTGCCTGAAAAAAAAAAACACCAAAGAACACAAATTTCATAAGGTCCGGTAAGAACCCAAACCCCAAATAACAAGACGGAGAAGAAGCACACACACCATAATGTCCTCTCGATCTTGGCGTTGGTACCCAGTCAAGCACACCACTAAGCTATCAGACCCTGGGATCCCATTCAAATCTCTAAGAGGCCTGTACAAAACCTGCCCAAAATTATGCAATACAAAAAAAAAATCAGAATATCAAAAGACCACAAAAAAAAGAAACCCTTTAGTAAACCTTGTTACGGGGACTGACCGAATTTGCATCGATAAGCATTCCAATGTCGAAGCTGTGATCAACCCATGACCCAGTGACAACCACTTTCCCACTGCTTCGAGCAGCAGCACAAACCGGATCATCCTAATGACATCCCAAGAGAAGATAAGAAGCGCGACAACATATAGCAGAGAGAGCACAAAGTTAGATATACACTGGACTTACATAAACAAGCTTATCTACTATGAGGTGAGTGCAGGTTTGACTGTGTTGGCCAGCATCAACACCACCACCACTCAGAAGCTTGGACCGTAACTGTGGAGAGATTATGGCAAAAATTGACAATTCAGCGAATCCAAAATATAGCCAATAAATAAAACCCAGGAAAATAAAATCAGAAACCCTTCAATTTGAGAAACCGAAACTCTCTAAGAAAAAAAATACCGATTGCAGCACAAGTATTGGTTATGGGGATAGAGAAATACCGAGTTTCCGTCGATGGGATTGAATCCAACGAGAGCGAATCGAACACCCGAAAACGTCTTGGAAGGAAAACCTGACTCCAGCATCTCTTTCTTTTCTATGTCAAAATTAGGGTTACAGGGTGGAGAAAATCGAAGGGGAAGATCGAATCAAAAGCCGGATTTGAACATGAATTTGGAATTTTGCACACAGAGAGAGAGAGAGAGAGAGAGAGAGAGAGCGTCTCGAGGAAGCTTTTTAGTTTTGCGGAAATGTAGTAGTAAGCGGGGGAAATTGAAACCTTTTCGTTTTTTTGGTTCTTCTAATACTGAAATGGTTCGGCGGGAGAAGCAATTTGGCGACGTGGGCTTATTTGGACCGGCCCATATTTAAAAAGCACAAAGTTTAATGGGCTGTTCGTGTTTTGGGGCCAGTAGGACTTTAAAAAAAAAAAAAAAAATCGGCTCTGCTTTAAAAACACGGTCATCGAAATCACGATGGAGAAAATAAACATTTTTTAAGCAAATTCGACACATGCAACAACAACTATGGTCTCTATAATGATAAATGGAATGTTTTCAAAATGCTTATTCTGGTACATAATGTTTGGTATCTGATTGTGGAGAGATCAGAATGTGATCAAATCGAGAGAAACAAAGTTAAAGTCTTACAAAAAAAATTGTTTTTGTGAATTGTGATGTACAGTTTATGGTTAGGTTCGCCAAAAAAAGGTTATAGCATATACACAATTCACAACAGAACAAAATCGAATAAAAAAAAATAATTCACTTGACAATTATCACTAAAATTTTAAGGAAAGTTTCTCTATATATAGCGTATATATCTGATCATGTAATCATTATTTTTCGAACTTTTTTTTATCTATAACTTTGTAAACTTAATTAAAATTGTTTACTGAAAAGAGAACCAATCGATTCTACTATCACAGGAATGCATTAGATGAAAGCTAACATGTATACAAAACCAATATTTTATTTTCATGAAAAGAAAAAAGAATAATTTAGATCTTAATACTTGTTGCTTTCTAAGTTTTAATCTTTCCACTTTCCTTGGATCAATTGGTAATCCATTTGCCGCAGCCGTGAGATATTGTTTATAGAACCCTTATTTATATGGTTATCGATCAATTATAAATTCAGAAATAATTAATAGTTATATTTTTATCTTTATTTTTTACATCTATTACTAGCCATTCCTATGACTAAGTTACTTACTTTGGCTAAACAAAAACATATATCGTTTAGTGTTACCAATCCGAATTTTTGTTACTGTATGAAACCTAATTAAGATATGAACCCCTTCAGGGATTAGGTGGGAATATAATCATGTATACAGAAAGATAATAGCAGCATGCTACTTCTAAGTTGGGTTTTTTTTTTTTAACTAAATTCTAAGTTAGTTTTTCTTATATTACCATACAATTTAAGTAAAGACCAGAATCTATATTTTGTAACTTTTAGCTATAAAAGCAAATACTGGTGAATATGTTGAAAGAATTTTGGTTTTAGCAAATAAGTTTAGAAAAAAATGAGGAATACCAAAATTGTTATATAAATACAATTTTAGAATTTGGTATTCCTCATACCTTTTATTTAAAAACAACATCAAAGGTAGAACAGTAGCTTAGGTTAAATATAGGTTAACGCTGTACCTTTTATTTAAAAACAATACCAAATGAACTCCAATTAGACTTTGCTTTTAAAATTTATTAGGTTAACCTAATCGAATTTAACCTAAGTTACTGCTCTACTTTGGCAAATTCGAGAAACACTCAATTACCAATGTGCTGTCTGATCTGTGGCATGCAAAGACACACACAAAAGAAAGCTTCACAGTGATTCAAAAGTAAAGACAAAAATCCCAATGAGAAAGTGAATAAAAAATAAAATAGAGCCATAGAGCCAAAGTTATGGGCAGCAATAAACTAATGTATTATTCATCCATGTTCCTTTCGAAATGTCATGTCTCATGTCTGAAAGAGAAGAAAGTTTTGTCCTTTGCTAGTTTCTTCGTTTCGAGTACAATTTTATTGGACCTCTCTGTCAATTCTTTTGTTTACTTTTCTTCTCATTTTTTGTTTTCATTCGTCAGAAAATTAAGTTACAACCAAAATATATTTTACTTTTCGCAACCACCATTTCGGGTGGTTTTTGACTACGGATTGATTGGTTATATTATTAACACTTCATAAACGTTGCATTTGAGGATTGTTGCACTTTTTGGCTTTTCAAAACAATCATGAAAATTAATATATGGTTTCGTATATTTTAAATCTCTTAAACTTAAAAGGTTTTTATATTGAAATATGAAACTGATTGATCAACATGGCAATTTACAACAACAAAAAAAAAAAAATTTACAAAGTTCAAAAGAAAAGCAAATAGATATTTAGATTAACATAATTAAATTTAAATGGTATACCAATTTAATAGTTGAAAAGTGGAATAGCTGAATATTAAACTAGCAAAATCAATAAAATGGATATATTAAAAATTGAATAAATTCAAAATGCTGAAAAGTTAGTATCTATTAGATAAATAATTTTTTTAAAACTAGTTATAAATTTAAAACGTGCGAGATAAATTGAAAAATAACGTGTTAATTTTTACTTTTTATCATTCAATATTTAATATTGTAAATAATATATATTTAGTGAAATCACATTTTCAAAACTTGAAATATCATTCAACTCTATAATCATTAAAAATTGTGATTATAAACCTCGTTTTATCATTCTTACTCATCGTTAGACAAAGTTTAAATCGAATACGAATAATATAATCTAAAATGCACATGTCTGTTGAATAATATAAGTAAAGAGGAATAATTAGAACTTGGAAGAAAGAAGACTAAAGACAGTTAACATTTTACCAAAAAAAAAAGATTAAAGACAAAATAATTAGATTGGTCTATGTGAAAATAGTACTTTTTTATTCTCAAAATATTTATTTTTTAGATTATTAAATATTTTTTTTAGATTTCAAAAAAAAATTACAACTAATTAAATTTGTAAATTATTATTGGTTAAGAGTTATAAAAAGATAATAATTGTAAAAAGTAATGTATTAATAATTAAAAAGTAACTATTATTTTTTAATTTATGTATATATGTTAAAACATCATCTTTTTGGAATGGAGGTAGCTTTCCAACTAACAAAAATATCAGAAATACACATTAAATATGAGGTTTTATTCGCAATTACATTTAATGTATATTCTTAACCAAATGAGCTCACAGTTTAAAACATTTTTTCTGTCTCAAAAATTCAGGCACATTTGGCGTTTGCTTCTATAGTGTGTGGACTCATTATTTTGTTACATACAAAAAAAGGTTCAAATTAGAAGTTCTCTTACAAAATATGCAATCGACACCGACCCAAGAAAAAAATAGTATCTCACCAGAAACAGAAACACAGATGTGAATAGTGATACAAATTTTTCATAAGATTACGTATCACTTTTCTGGGTTTTTGTCTTTTAGGCAGAGAGAAGAATAAAGAAGAAACAAACAAGAGAGAAAGCTCCAAAATTCTCGGGCAGACAATATTCTTATTATCCATAATTTCATCCAATGTGATCTGTCTTTTCTTTTGTACAAACTGCAGATTTAAGAAGAAACAAATTCAGCAACTAAGCGCTTCGTATTTAACCGGAATCGGTTGATTAAACCCGGCCCGAGCAATCAAACTCCCAACCACCGTCAAATCTCTACAAAACACTCCTTTGACCACATTCGTAGTATTGTTGTTGCTGTTCGCCGCTCTAATCGGCGTTTCGATGTTATTACTCCGATGAGCTTCCGTTACGGCTGCCTTTCGTTGCTTCTCCGCCGCTTGTTCCGTCGCGATGTTACTTGTCACGACTGAGTAACCTTTCTGGATCAATCTGTACAGTAGTAGAGTTGACATTCTGGCTCGGTCCTTAACCGAGTCTAATTCTTCTTCGTCATCGGTTAACTCAAACCGGTCAATAAATGACATCGATCTCTCCGGTTTATGCTTTAGATTGAGTAGTAAGTAAGCTCGATCCAGCTCTGATCTCGAGCAATCGCGCCTGATTCCCATCAGAGCGTAGTAGTCCACGTTTCCGATTTCTCCGTTTGCGATTCTGAGCTTCAGTTGCTGGATTTTGGAGGTCAAAACGCAGAGTTTTCCCGGTATTTCTCTGTACCGGACGTTGTGCCGTTTCCAAACCGGACCGGGAAGCTTCCGGTCACGTAAGATTGAGTTGTAGAGGAGTTTCAGGTGTTCCAAATCGTGAAGCGAATCGGGGAAACACCGAACGGACTCGAGCAATGCGGCTCTGGTCTCTAAGGCTTGAAGGCAGGACGGATCTAAGGCTAAGGTTTTGTTGCAATCGGCGATTGATTCCGCGATTCTGCCGGCGGATCTGTAGGCGGAGGCGCGGTGCATGAAGCACTGAGCGAGGAACCCCTGCGGCGCGCCACGGCGGCTGTCTAGGATTTTGGAGAAATGACGGATCGATTCGGAGTAGAGTCCGGCGTCGAGAGCGGCGAGTGCGGCGGCGCGCCGTCTTAGGAGGAGCTTTATGTGGGATAGCACGTGAGCGACGCTTTCGGATTCGGTGAGAGATCGTGGCTGAGACGCGGAAGAGACGACGACGGAGGAGGGAGGAGAGGAACCGCCGTCGGCGGAGGAGAAGAGGATGAAGCTGTCGTCGGACCAGCAGATGCTCTGACGGCGGAACGCGGCGGTGGCTAGGCGTTTACCGGTCTGGAGAAGGACCATGGCGTCCTCCATTAGACCTAGATGGCAACAAGCTTGGCCTAGAACCAGATATCTATAGTAAACAGGATCCGAAATCAAAACCGGGTTTGGGTTAATTTATGAAACGACGGGAGATTAAAATAAAAAACAAAAAAGTGTAAATTACCTCCATTGCCCTTGTTCGTCGCAGTGTTTACTCAGGCCTGCCATTACTTTCTTCTTCAAATCGGACACGGAGAAGCATTTGAAGGACGAGTCACCGTGACCCGGCAAATCGCTGAGGAGTTTGACCGATTCCCGTGACGAATGCGTGGAAGAGAGCTCCGATGAACCGATGCCAGAGTCTTCGCCGGCCAATTTAAGGCTAGGGATGTAATCGTGGAGCATATCGGCGACGTCTTTGAATCGACGGAGGTAGAGAAGCGATCTGGCTTTGAGTTCGAGAGCGAGTTCGTAACGAGGAGAGACGGAAAGTGCGGACTCGACGAGATTAAGAGCCGATTTGACGTCGTTCGGATCTTGGCTCGCTATCAGATTCC